TATGCTTGACCTGTTTTGTAATCACAGCTACATACCTTTTAGGCATGGGAGTCAATAACATATGCAATAAGTTTACTGTGTTTGCACCAATAGGATTTTTTCTGTTCCATCAAAAGGAACTTCCTTTATTGATAGTTTTCGTGTTGTTGTACAGTCACTGTGTATATTTCTTTGTGGTGAAAGGAATGGATGAAGTTGGATTACATCGTTTCATTGGAAGGTGCGAATCAAAGAATTTAGAGTCCATCTTCCCCATGTGCGATCAGATGTTTATCTCGTATGAAGAATTAAAAGAGCAAATGGTCTTTGAAGACACTGAAGGGCGCGAAGAGACCATAACTTATTGGCACAATTATTTGGCTTGTCTGTCGAAATATGAACCAGGTATGCATGTCACAAATTATCAAATATGATATTAAACAAGTATTGGATACCACAAACCGAGGCCTTGATAATTCTCGATATCATGCGAAAACCGAATCCAGTAATTGTTTTATTATATATTCAAAATAACGAAACGTTCGTTACGTGCAACAATATTTTTAAAACAATTAAACGACAAAAAAGTTCCTTGAAATGCCTATTCAGCCCAAACCTAAGAACACCGAGCGAGCTATTTCAGTACAACTTGCCGTTCTGGTTTCTAGCTTCGGCGTAGAACGTCAAAATCGCTGCCAGCTCGACGGCGTTTGTCGGATTTTCGTGTAGATACAGTACTCCTCGAAAATACTTTTGAACAGTTTTGTTGCTCTCTTCGTGCTTTTGGCAGTTTGCTATCTCTTTTTGAGAGCAACGTCGAAATTTCTTCATCATATAACAACCAGGTGATCTCGTGTTCGTAGTTTAGCCAATCAGCGCTCAGAAAGGGTTGTCCGAATAGAAATCCATTTTGATGTGTTCAGTCAGTTATATCTTTCGTTATTCTTTATGAAACTAGTTGAAATTTTGTAACTATTTTTGGTTATGAGAACTATAGCTCTGACAAAAATATGGAATCGAAATAAAGTATATTACAGGAGATATTCAGTTGTTTTAGTCATAAAATGGATTTCTATTTGAAAACTAGTGCCAGTACTTCTCCGCGTATCAAGATCATCTGGAATGGTAACCGGCTAAAAGCCATTCTGTTTACTCTTCAAATATTTAGTTTTGTCGGGATTTCTAGCAAGCTGCCGACCTCGCTGGGACTTGGGTTCGACAGCGTGCAATAATGCCTTGTTTTTATTATTGCGCGCTGATCACATCAACAGCTGAAATAACGAGTCAGTTTCTAGATACGGAGAATTAGCAGGCCCGTTTTGACCAATCACGAACGAGAATAAAGTTTGAATACAGTATATAATAATTTAACTTATTTCAATGGAATACAATATTGTAACTTGTTTTCATGAGAAAACCCAAATTATTTATTATTGGTTTGCAAGGAGTATTGTGAAAATTTGTTATTTCACAGGAATTTTAATTTTTAGGTCAGCTTTCTCTAACAGACTTGTGTTGTTTCTGGACGGCAACAAATACATTACCACCACGAAGTTCAACCTTGCTAGTCAAGTTCAACGATGACCAGTCTGAACTACCTACTGCTGAAACATGTTTCAACAGTTTGACTCTTCCCACGATACACACATCCTACGATAATTTCCGAAGGAGTATGGACACAGCACTCAGAAATGGTTCAATGGGAATAGACCTATCCTAAAAGTAAAGCAGACATGCACCAGATCATGATACTTGTACACTTTTGGAACATGACATGCATAGAGACCATGCATGCATGATCATTTAAATCATAAATATTTAGTGGAGTTGGTTTTCGGTTGGTTATAGAAAGTTTTAAATTTAGTTATTTAATATTAAAATGAACACATTTTTTACAAAACAATGCATGTTAACAATGCGTTCTTACAAATTCTTTTACTTCAACATAAATATCTATTCCATGAGAATTGCTCTCTCGTAGCGGATTTATAGAGCAAGATAGCTCACGATAATCTTCTTGGGATAACGGACAGTTCGTTTCTGGAACCATGACTGCCTCAACATCCATGTCGCCATCGGCTGGAAGGGGGCCATCCCAGTCAATACCATATTCCTCAAATTCTTCCTACAGATTATAAAAAATCAATTTATGGTTGCAATTCATAATGGCAAAAATGGGTGTGTTTATAAAAAAAGTCCAATAGAGGTTCGCGTAAACCTTCAAATACAAGCGCACACATTGTGGAGTATTTGGATATGCTATGCTAGGATCATACTTAGAGGATAAGAATATTCACGTTGTTATTCTTGACTAAATAGTTTAACCCTTGAATTGAAACTGAATAGTGTTGACTTGTTATATAAAAAACTTTCTCAAAATCACGAAAATATTTTAGTTGTTGAGCTATTTTAGATTATAATTCATAATTAATATTGCGAGCCAGTCCATTCTGTACATGTGTTCTTACCATTGTAGTTGGTTCATATAAATCACGAACAGCCACATGTTGGGAATTTCTATATTGGAGAAGACCCAGGATGTATAGTTGCATTGGCGTTCTATTGCCAGCAGTTCGAATGCGATGTTGAAGATATCCTTGTCTCCAAACTTCCAAATGTCTATTAATCCTTGGAATATAAACGTAATGCAATGAGAAGATATCTTCTCTGTTTGAGGAATCAAATATGCCATTATCTTCCAAATGATAGAAAAGGTGGTAATAAATGTGACTAACACCTTCGAACAAATCACGCCATAATCTTTCAATCCTTTGATTGTGCACACTTCTGCCTGTTATCATACTTCCTCTACCAGGTCCGCGTAAAGGATGTTGTAACATGTAGAGGGAAACAGAAGTATTTTCACCTCCTTTGTCCGATCTAACTCTGGATGGGAGATCATACTCATGAACAGCATTCTCAAAACAACTCAGAACTGTTTCAGCACGATTGTTGTCACTGCATTTTAAGAACACCGGAATTCGTGTATAACCATCAATTCCTCCATGTATAACCATTCGCCACCTAAAACCACAAATTGTTGTTTACTGAATAATTTTCATACTGATGACGAGTCTTATTTTTAATAAATTCCTGCACATATTTGTGACTACATAACGTATGACAAAGTATTTGGAACTTTTTAGGTCACACTATCTTTTACTGTTTTACTGTTCATGTTATTATTTGAAAAGGTTGATTTTCAGACAATTACAGTAAACCTATTTTATTGAACTCAAAATCCCGTGTTTCGCCGGATATTATTCACAATTTCAACAATATTTAGCACGAATTCTCAATACCTGCTGTATTTAATAATTTCTTTTTAATTAACCCACTAAGTGGGAGCAATCACCCCTTGTTGAGTAAAATTATCTGTCGTTTGACAGAGTAATTAGGGAATATTGCCACTTAATTAAAGGGTTAAGAAGAATTGAGATTTAAGTATTTTTTTAATTTACCTGATTAATTTGTGATTTCCGTCTATATGCCATAATGCTAAAGGACCAGAGACCCTATACTGTCTTCTGGGTGTTAATCTTAGCCATCGTAAAGCCACTCCTTGAGGATTGACTCTCCGCATGGATTCTCGAACTTGTATTTGTGAAGGTTTGAGCCCATTTACAACAAGTTGAGACATCACTCGTCGATATCCTGCATTGGGGAATTCTTGTAAGACTTGTGTAATCTTCCCATCTAGCTCTTCATCTGACATTACATTGGTATTTTGCCTAATTTGCAATCCATTGTCACGCATTCGTCTAAATATGGTGCTTTGCGAGACTCCTAATGCACATGCTATATCTTTCACTGAGAACTGATAATTCAAGAAGTAGTTCAATTGTTCACAACTAATGTTGAAGCTGGGTCGACCTCTTCTTCCTGAATGAACACTCTCTGCGACAAAAGGGACTTCAGCATAGAATTCTTCCACGCCCTGCAAACAGTGTAATGCTTGAGAGACAAAATGCTGAATTTCATCATCAACAAGGTTAACACCACAGAGTCGTAATATATGAAAAGCAATTTGTTCAAGTCTTAATGAAATACTATCCAATTGTCCAGAATCCAAATTCTGTAATTGACCTAAAATATCCAGGAGTGATCCCCGTAAATGGACTCTCAGAGTTTCTTGATCTTGATTCATCAACTAAAATTGAAAATATTCTTTTCAATTATTAATTAATTGACCATGCAATTCAAATGAAGTACATTTGCAAGTGATTGGTAGACTGCACAACTACTGCTACAGGTACTGTATATGCCAAATATACCTACCACATGGATACATTTTTGAGGGGCACTTCACTCCAAATTTGGAGGAGCACAACTCCGTTTTGACGGATTGTATGTACCGGACTCTTCTGGCATTTTTAGGGGATTTTTGGAGTGAAATTTCTCCTTGCATTTCCTAATTGTTTTTGCCTTTAAGATTTTAATTTTTTATGCTTGTTTAATCAAATCTAACCCCCGTCACATAATGAACACTTTATACAGAAGTCTGACTATTTCATGTTACATTTGTTCACCCCTGAAAACATTCAATACGGCTGGCGTGTTCCGGGCTATGACCGCTATGCTTTTTTGGGCAAGTCAGATTTCTGAATGTAAATACTCAGTTCCCCCCACCTTAACCCCACAAAATTCAGGTACACACTTTGTGTGTGTAGGGCAATTAATAGAGGGTCTTAATGGGGCTCTTTGGGTGTCAGTTGTCAGCTAAAATTTAAGCCAGTTGTCAGTGCGATATATTGCAAGCTGTCAGTAGTCAGTTACTGCAAAATGCTGACTTATCATTTTTTAATCATTTCTCAGTTAAGATATTTTGTCAGTCAAAAATTCAGGCAAATGTCAGTAGTCAGTTAACCCTGGGCATTCAGACCCTCTTAACATGTAGAGTGCATCAGCTTTAGATATTGAGAAGGAGAATGTGTGAAACGCTGACCCCCACCTCCCAAACTATATTATTAAAATATCAAACATATTCTTAATATACACTAATTTAATACATGCTGTAAACAACATTTAGGCAGCTATAAGTTACTGTAAGAGACCACAACGTCTGACAACGATGCTAAAACATGCATATATTACAATGCTTTTATAAATTGTCGATAAAAATAAATAATTCATTACCTTTTCAACTGAAATTCCTCGAACGCAGTCTAACCTCGTGTTGTATAAAAGCGGGAAGATATTTTTCATTACTTTCCACTGAATTCCACATTTTAAGGAAATTTTGATTAGGAAAAATATTAAGGAAAACTGATATAGGAAATCTTGGAAAATCAACCGCCATGGGAGTGAAGTGGAAACACGTTAATGGTTGTGTTGATTGATGGTCGATTCGATTCGAGAAAGCATTGATCGATTCGAGAAAGTGTTGATCGATACGAATGTGTATGGTTCGACGCGGGTGAAAGTTGCAAATATTCGCTCTATGCCACGAATGCTTAATCGATTTGACTAATATCCGTTCGATTCCGGAAAGTATTGATCGATTCGAATGGTCGAATGATAAGTTAGTCCGTTCGTTTCCGCAAAGTGTTGATCGATTTACAATGCTTATATTCGATTTCAAACTATTGAATTTTGACAGTAAAAACGCGCCATACATAAATTGCGTGTACAGTCCGGATGAGGCGTATACACAGATTTTCATTGGTTAAAATTTGAGCATGCATCACAAACGTCACATTGCAGTATTTCCGGAACGTTCAAATTTCAACAGCGAGCTGAAATGCTGAATTTGTGGCATCGGCATGGTTGTATCGAAATCATGTTCACAGAAATGTTTTATACACATAACATATTCAGTGTAAAGGACAAACGATGAATAATTTGAAAACTTAGAGAGGTAAGAAAGTATTTAGGTATTTATTAACAATGCACAAATTTATAAAGCGCGTTCTCAGTTGTCACTGTATGAACTCTGTACAAAGAAAATAACCTTTAATAAAAAATATACATCAGAATGAGATGTATCAAAGTACATAACACATGATAACAGTAAGGTAATACATTGTTTTTGTGGAAAGTATTCTGTTTTACTTTCAAATTTTTAATTTATTCCTTTTCTTCAAACGAAACTCGTAGGGTCCCTAGCCCCTAGGGAAAACCCCATTTCGCCTTGTGACGGGAAAAATGTGCTGAGTATGTCAAATTCCAGTTTCTCGTTATTTACATCTTACTTTTGCTTCTAAAAATATATTATTCCTTCGGTATAAGATATACTAGTAATTTCTTACCATGTTAATCAAGAAATTTCATGTAGAACATTAACATTTTTAAAAGAACGATGTTGACCTAAGAAAACTTTACAAAAGGCTGATTAGGAACAGATTAGTAATTAGTATGTATTATATTTCAGTTTGAATATTTTTAATATTAAAATATTCCAGATTCGTTTACTTTACATTGTGATTTAATATTAGTTGCATGTTGGGAAAAGAGTGGGATTTAATATATTTCTGGTTATAACTGGCCTTATATATAACATAGCATATATTTAAATGTATGAGATGGCTACTGTTGCTGATCGGGTGAGGCTGGCTGAAAATATTAATTAAACTTACTACATTTTGTCAGCTTCTTGCCTACCACTCAAAAAAGTCCAGAAATGTTCAATTTGGTCATTGAAGTTGATGAGGAGAATGCGACCAAGTTTTAGAAAGTAACAAAATAGTATACCAACTCAAATGGAATTTTAATAGATACAAAGCTTGATGACATTTAATTGTGAATTGGACTGATACAGTATGAAAAGTAAGCTTGAAAATTAATGGGTCGTTCCAGAAAAGATCCATACCCCCCCCCCCCCCCC